GTCTAAATATAGAATTTAAGCAACAATCACTTTTAAACTTCAGTTTATCCGAGTCTGAAATCTCTTTGGTTCCTGTGTTTTTGTGTATGTGTTTTTTTTCCCCCATGTCCCTAGCTTTGTGACATTCTTCAAATTGATCATTAGCATAAGTCTCCGATGCTTGTTTATTTAAAGAAATAATGTTTGTGAGTATATACTTCATTTATTGACAAATATTCTATTTGATGTCTACTGTGTGCCAGCACAGTACCAGGGGTAGGAAGTCAGTGGTGACTGAGTGACTGCCTTCATGGAACTTTTGGTCCATTGAGGAAGACACATCAGACATGTGTTTGGAAACGAAAGGATGGCTCTCTGAAGGCACATTGTAAGGGATACCAACCTAACCTTGAAATTCATGGAAAGCTTTGCTATTTGGAGGAGGAGAAGTTACGTGAACACTCAGAAAGAACTCTGAGGAACTGAAGACCATTGTGTTTGAAGCTTAGAGGGGAAGGTGGGGTAAGAAGTAAGCAGCAATTGGGTTGTGAGGGTGTTATAAACCATGGTTAAGATACTAAACTTCAGCTGGGCATGGTGGCATGTGCCTGTAGTCCCAGCTACTCAGGCGTGCTGAGGCAAGAGGAGCACTTGAGCCCAGGAGTTACGGGTTGTAGTGCACTCTGCCAGTTGGGTGTCCACACTAAGTTCAGCATTAATATGGTGACCTAGAGCAGGGGACCACCAGGTTGCCTAAGGAGGGGTGAACCGGGCCCAGTTCAGAAACAGAGCAGGTCAAGATATTAAACTTTATTTCAAGTCTAGTAAGAAGAAGCTATTGAGAACTTTTAAACAAGATTATAATATCACATTGTGTTTTTAAAAGATGAGTTGCATCGTAGATAATATTCCCCAACCCTCATAGAAAACCCAGATTGAGAGCAAACATAATATACTATGGCAGTTTGTAATGTTCCTTCCCTGCTCTCATGGAGGCCTGGAAATAGTTTTAAGTAGGCAAGTAGGGCTTCTCAAGTGTGAAGAATTTCATTCACTCTGCCTGTCGGCAAAATTTATGACTCAAATAGGAAATACAGTGAAAATGTTTTAGTCACTGTTAAATGTTTAAGTAATTTAGGTTAATTAATTCTATTATGGCTTGCTTTTCCTGGGAACCATTTAAACCAAAAACAATAATGGTATTTAGAAGGCAATTTCTAATCTTATATGTAGTTTTCTTTTAGAAAAGATTTGAATAACTTTGGTGGAATTTGCCACAATAAATTAGATTTCTTTTCTTACATAAAGCCAATTTATAAAAAGGCTTTTTTAAAATTGATTTTAATCATCAGTATTTATTTTTGACATAGTTGTAAAAACAGTGTTTAAGTATCATGACTTATAAACACTCTAGAGTTTAAGATAAAGAAAGATTGTGTTGAATTCCAAAATATGGCAAATGAATACTTTCCTTTAACTTTTACTTGCATTCTTGGTAACCTAGCATAATGTATACACTGAAGATTTTGTCCAGAGTAGAACTCTCTATTGCAGCGGTTCTCAATCTATGGGTCGTGACCCCTTTGGGGGTCGAACGACCTTTTCACCGGGATTGTCTAAGACATAACAGTAGCAAAATTAGTTATGAAGTAGCAATGAAAATTATTTTATGGTTGGGGGTCACCACAACATGAGGGTCATGGCATTAGGAAGGTTGAGGACCACTGCTATTGTGATAAGTTTAAAAGATCTAAGGACTTAAGGGGAGCCAAGAGCTGAATTTGAAAAGTGTCAAATGATAAACAAATGGAAGTTTATAACAGAATTTATTATTTTATTACACTGCTGAACCCAACAGAGAAGAAAAGTTTCGGATGAAAATAATTGCAGAACATCTCCTTGGCAAGAGTAAAAATTTTCCACTACCACTTGCCCTAAGGACATTGACATGTCCCATCAGGGAAATAGCACTGGATGTAGTCATCAGAACAGCACTGTCTACTCCTTAGCACAAAACGCTCTGTCTGAAATTCACAGAAGCCTGCAGACAAAGGAAAATTATGTCTTAGTTTGAAAAGTATTCATTGAATATTTACTTTCATGCATCTTTTACTTCCTTAGAGAACCTGCTTCCTGATAGATTGAAACCTAACTTGACTCTTACAAAAACCATGAAGCAGAGTCACACAGCAAGTTAAAGGAAGTCTTCCATTAATTGAGGTTCCCTAGGCAAAACTCCTTTTACTTCTTAACTTTAGTTTCCTGTCCAGACCAAGGACATGTGTTGGTCAAGATGATGTGAGGTTTTTTTTCTAGCTAAGAGTATACTAGAATACAACAGGTTTTTATGACCAGTTTGGATTTATGGTTCTTTAGTACCTTTCCACAAAGAGATCAGTTTCTAATGGAATGAGAAATATAAATAAAACTGTAAGGTAGTACATGTTTCAAGTGTTGGGAGACTTGATTTGGGGTCTTCTTGTCCTAGAGCTGGAATACTTGGCACATGAAAAACAGAGCGTAGTATAAAGGTTGTTCTAAACAAGTGTTTCACAGGATCTATGACCTCAGTTGTGCTTGGTTTTGTTTTCTTGTATTAATCTTTTAGAGTGTTTGGAAATTTTTTTAAAATGTGGATTCTTGTACCTTACCACAAAATGCATTGAACCCCAGACTCTTGAAAAGGAAGTCCTGAAATCCTGTGGCTTATAAAGGGCCCCCAGATCATCTTTTCTTTTAATTCTTAAATATTTAACTGCCTCTCAATTAGAAGGGCTGTTGTAGAATAGAAGAAGTGTCTAGAAGAACTTGAGGTCAGTTTCTAAGGGCTTCCTAGGTCATTTGTTTCACTAGCATTTGACATTTGAGGTGTTTCTGAATATTTGGCCGGTATATCAATACAATTTCTGTACAGCAAAGAGACAGCCTTCATTTTATTAAAATGGACCTTTAGGGGAAAAGTAGCCGGTTTCTTTATAATACCTGTATAAATATAATTTTTAATGCTCTACCTGTATAGTATTGATTCCATCTTAAAATAATACCTAACGTATTGTCTATGTTACCCAAAAAAGAAATTTAACCTTGGAATTTATTGCCTTAAAAATATGTTTTCCATCTATTTCATATTCTCAGCTTCTACTGAAACACAGCAAAATAAATGCTGAGAAACTACTTTTGAGTCCTGTTGTAGTTTATCCTCAATTTGAATATTAGATTTGCCGGCTTTAAATGTGGCAGGTATATGAAAGTAAGAGCTAGGGCTTATCTGTGGAATTGTTTACATAGAAAAAGGGATTAAGCTTTCAGTATAAATGGAAACATTCTGCTACTTTTTGATTGCTGGTATATATTTAGCTGTTAACAGTGCAGACGTGTGATAATGCTTATTGACAGGACCTCTGTGCCACCTTAGAGAGTAGAGAGAAGTTTTCTGCTCCTGTAGGATTGTGGCATAAATTGCCACAGACATCAAAAGAGCATTTTCAAGTAAATTTCCATTTAGGGTCACATGCTCATTATTGAACTTGTATTCTTTCATGTTCAGGGTTATGTGTGATAAAATTATGACAACCAGAAATAATACAACAAAAAATAGTTTTATGTTGGTTTAAAATTTTTCATCTTGATAGGGCATGCCTAGCTGTTGGAAATCACTAAAGTTTGGGATGTGGTTACTTTATATTGTAGTAGGAATAGAAATGTATTAAAACAAAGTGTTCTGGTTTATTCAGTCTGAATATTGCTATTTGTTGCATAAGCATTTCCAGCAGTAATTTTACCTGAACTTAGTGTGTCCCTGCAGTCAAATGCAAGGATAATCTTTGCCTCTCGAGAGTATATGTTGGCAGTCTCTCTGCTGCCTTGTGACCACAATTTCTACTTGGCCCATAGGGTTATTTTATGACTGGAGTTCAAAAAGCAAACCATACTCTGAATTTAAAAGCTCTGACATTGGGGGGGGGGGGGGGAGACACAACTAAATTGAAGGTTTAACAAATGAAATAAATCTACTTCTTGGACAGAGAGCTATTTTGCCTATAACCAGTGATGGTTACAATTCAGTGTGGGAGGTAAATGTGGAAAACGCTTCTTCAACTGAAAAATAAGATATGCAGCCCTGGCCGGTTTGGCTCAGTGGACCAAAGAGTGTGAGTTCGATTCCAGTCAAGGGCATGTTACCTCAGTTGCAGTTCAGTCCCTGGCCCTGGTTGGGGTTGTGCAGGAGGCAACCAGTTGATGTTGCTCGCTCGCTCCCTCTCCCTCCCTCCAACCCACTCTCCCACTCTATCTGAAGATAAGTGGGAAAATATCCTCGAGTGAGGATTTGAAAAAAACAACCACCATATACAATTCTAAGGAGACTACTTACTATTCTAATTGTTTTGTTATAGTCTGTGCACAAGACTTCCGAAACTACCTCAGTTACCTTTCAGAAAGTCTGGGAAAACTGTTTGGTTTTTTGTTTTTGTTTTTTTAATCCTCACCCGAGGATATTCTTCCATTTTTTTGTTCAGATAGAGTGGGGGAGAGAGAGGAAGAGAGAGAGAGAGAGAAACATCGACGTGAAAGGGATACATCGAGTGGTTGCCACCCGCATGACCCAACCAGGACCGGGGACAAACTGCAGCCGAGGTACATGCCCTTAGCAGGAACCGAACCCGAGTCTCTTGGGACCACAGGCCAATGCTCTAACCACCGAGCCAAACCGGCCAGGGCTGTTTGGTTTTTTTTATGATTCAGTTGCTTTGGTGCTGATGTGCACTCATTCAGTACTTTAAACACAGTGCTGCACAGTTTATTCTTTTCCTTTCTATGTAATTCAAATCTTATATCTATCAGCAAGAGAATTTTAATTACCGTAGGGTAACTTAATTATCTTGCTTAACAGATTTGTGTATATTTGTGTTGTATACAGGCTATTTATTTTCTTTAAAAATTGTGTTTAAAGACAAATTTATCTCTATGTAACATGATTGCAAAAGTTGCTTATTTTAGCTGCCCTTTTTCTCTTCAATTAGTTGGTGACAAAGTTCCTGCTGATATAAGATTAACTTCTATCAAATCTACTACTCTAAGAGTCGACCAGTCAATTCTCACAGGTAAGTTATGTATTGGAAGGTCATTGAATTACTGAAGTCAGCCTCAGATCCCGTGCTTAATAGACTCAACTCTTACCCCACTGTCCTATGATAATCCTATCTTTTTTTTTTTAATCCTCATCAGAGGACATTTTATCCATTTTTTGTTCCGATAGAGTGGGAGGGAGAGAGAGAGAGAGAAAAACATCAATGTGAAAGGGACACACTGAGTGGCTGCCTCCTGCACAACCCCAACCAGGGCCAGGGACAAACTGCAACTGAGGTCTGTGCCCTTAGCGGGAACCAAACCTGGGTCTCTCTGGACCGCAGGCGGATGCTCTAACTGCTGAGCATAACTGGCCAGGGCTGATAATCCTCTCTTAATTCTCTCTAAGGTATTTATTTCTTAAGTCTTTATTATTAGACTTTTTGCCAACATATGGGGTTTTAAGATATTTTTTAAAAATTAACGTGGATTCCATCTCATAAGATCTCTATTTATCTTTAAATTTTTGATAAAATTAGTTTTCACCAAAAATCACCATATGTTTTTACCATTTTTAAAAGGTTACAAATTCTTTCATTAATAGAGGTTAATCTTACAGGAGTGTGTTGTCTGTTTTGTGGAAAGTGAATCAATTAGTTATTTTAGTCTTTTTCCAGGCTGAAAAAAGGGCTCTAGGGCTGTAATTTTTTTCGTTAGGTGAGTGCTAATCTCACATCTAACATACTTTGCAATAATCAAATGTACAGTTACCAAAAGTTAGCACTCCCAAAATGATGAATGTTTTACAGCCTAAAGTTTGCACACTCAGATTTGGGATTGTTTGGAACATTTCCCCGTTTTTGTTTAATAAAGGCACAGAGTAGGGTGGAGGGTTCATAGTAACCGGAAGTAAGGTGGTTAGAAGATTGACTTAAACACAATGCTAACCTGAGTTAAATAGAAAATAAACATAAAATCCAAAAATTATCAAGATTTATCTGATTATCAGTTTTGAAAAGCAACTGATGTCATAGAGGTGGTAATGTAGTAACCTCGGTTCTTTATTTTTTGTTTCTTTATGAACTGCTTATCTACTAAAACTCTCATTAGCAGCAACAAGCTGAAAGCTGATTAAGCCATAAAATGTTGGGAAATTAGGTTGTATATACGAAATTCTCATAGTATACCTACAGAAATAATTACCATTTTAAAACTTACACTTTCTTGAATGTCATTTTTTTTGTTGTTGTTAATCCTCACCCGAGGACATTTTTCCATTTTTTGTACAGATAGAGTGGGAGGGAGAGAGAGGAAGAGAGAGAGAGAAACATCGATGTGAAAGGGACACATCGAGTGGCTGCCACCCACACGACCAACCAGAGCCGGGGACAAACTGCAACCGAGGTACATGCCCTTAGCGGGAACCGAACCCGGGTCTCTCTGGACCACAGGCGGATGCTCTAACCGCTGAGCCAAACCGGCCAGGGCTTGAATGTCATTTTTTGATGAATAATTATACTCTAGTTTTAGGCTAGGTTGAGGAACCAGATTCTTTTTTGTCAAATATCGAAGTGCTGTAAAGTAAAGTTGGAACTAAATTCAGCGAGACATTGTAAAACTTTTAAGAAGTAGTCCTTTCTACCATATGCTCTTTTTAGTGCAGTTGCTGATTGCTATTTTTCAGTTTTGTTTTATTGAAATAGAACAGTCTGGTTAGTACACGCAAATATTTTCTAAAACAGTGTTTTCATTTATCATCTTTTACATTATTGAACAAAAACAGGCTTCCCAGTGGATGATCCTCACTATTCATGTAATGTATCTACAGTTTGTTCAGTTCACTGAAAGTAAATATACTTTTACCTTTATTTAAAAAGTATTGGAGTGTGTGTGTGTATATAGTTACTCCAGAAAATAAAGGTAATTGGCTGGGATTTTACTTCAAATTAATTTCCTTTATTTTGAAATTGTATTAATTTTAATCCTGAATTGCTCTGAAATTAGTTTCCATTACTCGATTTTACTAGTTTACCTCCTTTGAATGAATTGGACCTTTTGATCCCTTTTCTTGAGAGAGGCAGTGGCATGAGAGGATGAGGGTTCCCAGGCTCTGGGTGGGGATTGCACAGACCTAACCATCCCTGTCTCTCACCTGCTTAGGTGAATCTGTCTCTGTCATCAAGCACACTGACCCTGTCCCTGACCCACGAGCTGTCAACCAAGATAAGAAGAACATGCTCTTTTCTGTAAGTACTTAATTTAAAACAATTTTTTTTAAGACATTCTCAGAGTTTTAAGTCTGCAGATGCCCCCCCCCCTTCCTTCAGTGGTCAGCTTTTAGAAAATGTTGGCTATTATTCCAAAGGACATTCATAATCTTCATGGTCAATCTCAGCTGTCAGAAAACATCAGGAACATGTAATAGTGGAATATGTGACCTAGATATCTTGTATTAATTGGCACATTGTTTTTTTTAAATCCTCACTCGAGCGTATGTTTTTCATTGATTCTAGAGAAAGAGGGAGGGAGAGGACATCAATCTGTTGCCTCCCAGATGTTCCTCGACCTAGGACCAAAACTGAAACCTTACCCCTGACCTGGAATCAACCCTCCGTGCAAGGGATGATGCTTTAACCAACTGAGCCACACTGGCCAGGGCTCAATTGGCAAGTTTTTGAGGATTAAAATTTAAAAATTGGCCTGCCAGTGTGGCTCATCCCATGGACTAAGAGGTCCTGTTTCGATTTCCCATCAGGGCACATGCCCAGGTTGTGGGCTTGATCCCCAGAGTGGGGTGTGCAGGAGACAGCCAATCAGTGTTTCACATTGGTGTTTCTCTCTCCCCCTCTGCCATCCTCTCTATCTAAAAATCAATAAAGCCTTGACCATTTTGTCTTAGCAGTTAGAGCATCGGCCTGCAGACCAGAGTCCCAGGTTCAGTTGCCCTTGCGGTTTGTCCCAGACCCCGGTTGGGGTTGTGTGGGTGGCAACCACTCGATGTGTGTTTCTCACATCGATCTTTCTCTCTCTCTTTATCCCTCCCTCCTTCCCTCCCTCTCTCCCGCTCTGTCTGAAAATGGGTGCAAAAGTGTCCTCGAGTGAGGATTTAAAAAAAAAAAAATCAGCCCTGGCCTGTTTGGCTCAGCGGTTAGAGCATCAGCCTGCGCTTCCGAGAGACCCGGCTTCGGTTCCCGCTAAGGGCACATACCTCGGTTGCGGTTTGTCCCCAGCCCTGGTTGGTCGTGTGGGTGGCAGCCACTCAATGTGTCCCTTTCATGTTGATGTTTCTCTCTCTCTCTCTCTCCCTCCCTCCCACTCTGCCTGAACAAAAAATGGAAAAATGTCCTTGGGTGAGGATAAAAAAAAAATCAATAAAAACATATTTAAATTTTTTTTTAACAAATCAGGTCAAACATCTTTAAACTATCTGTAAATGTAGTAGAAAAGTAGATTTATTTGGAAAAGGCTTAGACTATAAAGGGTGTTTTTTAAATTGATGTGGGTGTTATCTGTATGAGTTCACAATAAAAAGGTGTGTGTTCAGACAGGACAAATGTGGCAAACCATTAATAATTGGTGAGTCTGGGTGAAAAGTCAAATGACTATTGTACTATTTCAATTTTCTGTTTAATTTTTTCAAAATAAAAAGTTAGGAATTTATAGATTTTGTTTGTTTGGAATTTAAAATATTTCAAGTGGTGGGATTTTATGGGTTAGTATGGAGCCTAAACACCCACAGTAAGTACAGTACTATCAAGTTACAATGAAAATAACAAAGCCATGTCGTGCCAACACTGGTAATTGAAGTGAGGTATGGAGAGAACTCTCTTGAGTTCATTGATTTTGGATTGCCAGTGCTTGAGTGGAGGTGGTCAAGGGAGCCCATGGTGCTGGTTGCCTTTCTTATTAGTGATGAAAGTAGAGGGGAGGTTGATTTGGAGCCAGAGGTAGAGAATGTTTAGGGTTTAGAGCTGTATAGAGTTCGAAAAAATTGAGAACGCAAAGGGGTTAGAGCCAGCCCTGCTCCAGCCCAAAGCTAGTCTGAGAGCCAGGTTCAGTGTTGTGAATAGAGATCCAGGTGGGTCAGTGTAGAGCTGCTCTGGGGAGAGTAGGTACCACATGAAATGAGTATCAGGGAGAGATGTATCACACAGCCTGCATGAGTTATTGCTCGTTATCAAAATTGGATGGCTGGTTCTCTAGTAAAGATCCACATGAGTCTGAGTTTACTAGTCAGTATTTAAGTTGGGAATGGTGTTCATTTGTAACCGATTCTCCTGTTTCTGTACTAGGGTACAAACATTGCTGCTGGCAAAGCCATGGGAGTGGTGGTGGCAACTGGAGTTAACACTGAAATTGGCAAGATCCGGGATGAAATGGTTGCAACAGAACAGGAGAGAACACCCCTCCAGCAAAAACTAGATGAGTTTGGGGAACAGCTTTCCAAAGTCATCTCCCTTATTTGCATCGCAGTCTGGATCATAAACATTGGGCACTTCAATGATCCAGTTCATGGAGGCTCCTGGATCAGAGGTGCTATTTACTACTTTAAGATTGCAGTGGCCCTGGCTGTAGCAGCCATTCCTGAAGGTCTGCCTGCTGTCATCACCACCTGCCTGGCCCTTGGAACTCGTAGAATGGCAAAGAAAAATGCCATTGTTCGAAGCCTCCCTTCCGTGGAAACCCTTGGTTGTACTTCTGTTATCTGCTCAGACAAGACTGGTACACTTACAACGAACCAGATGTCTGCCTGCAGGGTAAGTGGGAGTAATTTAAGAATTCTGTTGGTTGTTTATTGATCCTAAAATATGCCCTTGTGCCATCAAAATCTTTGATTTATAGTTTGATACGTTTTTCTAGAACTAAAGCAATAGAATGAGCCCTGGCCGTTTGGCTCAGCGGTTAGAGCATCGGCCTGCGGTCCGGAGAGACCCGGGTTCGGTTCCCGCTAAGGGCACGTACCTCGGTTGCAGTTTGTCCCCGGCCCTGGTTGGTCGTGCGGTGGCAGCCACTCGATGTGTCCCTTCACATCGATGTTTCTCTCTCTGTGTCTCTTCCTCTCTCTCCCTCCCGCTCTATCTGTACAAAAAATGGAAAAATGTCCTCGGGTGAGGATAAAAAAAAAAAAAAAGAAAGAAAGAAATAGAATGATACAGCTGAGTTAAGTTTTTTCATATAATTTAGTTCTTATAAATTTTATGTAAACAATTTTGTAGAAGTCAAAATATAATTTTCCAACAGCTATACTACTCGTACAAATATTTAGTGGACACATGTCAAAGATTCTGTCTGGCTCAATAATTAATGAGGGAATCAGTAAGATGGCCAGACTGCTGGTTACAAAAGCATTTGAGGAAGTGCTCAATATTAGAATTGCTGTTAGATTGCAAAACCTGGTTAATATCCTATGGGGCAATAAAACTAGGTTGTCTTTTCAATAGGACACAAATCCACCAGCCCTTAATTAGTAAATAGCTTAGTGAAACACTGTTTCATTTTTCCAGAACACTAAATCTTTGAGTGGGCCTGTTAGGTAATGCTGAGCAACACTGAAAGGACATGCAGCCGTCTGCTTGGTCTTCTTGTCTCCAAGTTTGGGAAAACGATTTTTTTAGCTTTGGAAATTGTTTTTGTTTTAATACAGTTAAACCCTCTGAATCTTTCTTTTAATATATATATTTTTATTGTTGACAGTATTACAGATGTCCCCTTTTACCCACCCATCCCTTCACCCAAACCCTCTGAATCTTTATCTTGCCAAATTTAAATTCATAATGTTTAAATACAAATACCCCCAACTCTTTATGGTGTTCAAACCCAGATTTAGAATAAATGGACAGGTGTTTATTTTGGGGAGAGAAAAGAAATTTCATGTTACCTATTTAGTATTCCCCCAACAAACTTCTTAAACTTAGCCTGAAAGTTTTTAATTCCTCGGAATAGACCTTTCTATCCATGAAAGTAAGCAGTGTGTGCAGTTGTAACCTTTAAAATTTTTAATTTCAAAGTTTTAGTAGCAAATCAGATTTCAAAGTATAAAATAGAGGCTATAATAAAATTTGTTTTGTTCTTATATTTTTCCTTAAATTGTTTAAAATGTTTTCTTCTATTAAAGAAACAATCTGTCTCTCTGTTCTGTTTCACCTCAGCACAGAAAGCTGACGGTAATCAGTATTCTATAGGAGTTTCTTGCAGTGGATTGCATAACTGCCCTTGACCTAGGAATACTTTCATCATGCGGTTCCTAAGTGGTTTACTTGCTTACAATCTAAAATGCCAAAGGGCATTCAGATTTAGTTAACGTGCAGCAGAATTCTGAATGTCTTAAATATTTTGGACTCTGTTATAGACCCAAAGAGTTTGACTGTCTATAAATAGTATTAAAGAAATGGCATGGTGTTTAATAATAATACTGCCAACTTGGTTTGCTGTTAGTGCAGTTAATTTGTTTTTCCCTTGCGACTTTATTTGAATAACATGGGAATCCTGCTCAAGAGGTTAGAAAATGAAGGCTCTGAGAAGCTGTGACGTGTCTGAGGGTCACACAACTTGTTATTTTTTTTTTTCTTTTAATCCTCACCCAAGGATATTTTTCTATTTATCTTCAGATAGAGTAGGAGGGAGAGAAAGGGAGAGAGAGAGAAACATCGACGTGAGAAGGACATCGAATGGTTGCCTCCTGCATGACCCCAACCAGGGCTGGGGACGAACCACAACCAAGGTATGTGCCCTTGGCCGGAATCGAACCCATGACTCTTTGGTCTGCAGGCCAACACTCTAACCACTGAACCAAACTGGCCAGAGCTAAAAATTTCTTTTTTGATAGAGTGGGAGGGAGGGAGGGGGAGACATACACAAACATACCCTATCTACCTATCTACCTACCTACCTACCTAGGCACTAGGGATCGACCTGCAAGCCAGGTAGGTGCTCTTGACCAGGAGTCAGACCTGAGACCCTTCAGTCTGAGTCCATCTCTCTAACCGCTGAGCCAAGCCGGCCAGGGAAGTGTCACACAACTTTTAATACAAGGGTTAAGTTGGGTTTTCTTGTAGGAAACACTGGTAGTTAAACCTGATCCTCTTTCTTCCACTCAGTTGTATAACCTTGAGCATATTCTTTAATCAAACTGGTCCTTTGTTTCCTCTTCTTTAAAATGTCAAACATCTTTGGAAAGAGCCTTATGACAAGCCTCCTTTTTTAGGTATTTTATATATTTTTAAAAAATTGTAGGAGTCGGTAAACTTGTACATGTTACCTTGGAAATTAGACTTTTCTTCATTTGACATGCTGATATATGTGTTTGAACTAGAAGTTTTAAATCCAATTATATACTTTGATTTAAAACAAAAAACAAAAATATTTTGGCCCTAGCCAGTCTGACTCAGTGGTTAGAGCATCGGCCCACGGACCGAAGGGTCACAGATTCGATTCCAGTCAAGGACATGTGCCTGGGTTTCAGGGTTCTCTTTCTGGCCCTGGTTGGGATTGTGCAGGAGGTAACATATAGATATGTCTCTCTCACATCGATGTTTCTTTCTCTTTCTCTCTCTCCCACTCTCTCTGAAGATAAATGTAAAACTATCCTCAGGTGAGGGTTAAAAAAGTATAAAATCAGTGAAAATTTTTTTATAAGTATGTGCTATATAACAAGCAAATCTTAAGAGACAAAATTATTTTAAAATAAAGATGAGCCTGGCTGGTGTGGTTCACTGGTTGAGCATCAACTCATGTACCAAGAGGTCGCCAGTTCAATTCCCAGTCAGGGCACATGCCCAGGTTGTGGGCCCAATCCCCAGTGGGGGGCATGCAGGAGATGGCCGATCAATGTCTCCATCTCTCTCTTCCTCTACTTTCCTCTCTAAAATCAGTGAAGGAAAAATATTTTAAAATGAGTTTATTTTCTTTTTCTTTTTAATCCTCACTCGAGGACATTTTTTCATTTTTTGTTCAGATAGAGTGGGAGGGAGAGAGAGAGAGAAACATCGACGTGAAAGGGACACATCAAGTGGTTGCCACCTGCACGACCCAACCAGGGCCGGGGACAAACTGCAACCAAGATATGTGCCCTTAGCAGGAACTGAACCCGGGTTTCTCTGGACCGCAGGCCGACGCTCTAACCACTGAGAAAAACTGGCCGGGGCATGAGTTGATTTTCTTATTGAATATGAGTTGGGATTCTCTGAAAAAATGTTTTAAAAGCATGATGTGGTTCTGTTTTCCATGAGTTTTAAATTCCTTATTGTAAAGTGGTTTGATCATATTCTTGCTCATATTTGAGAGAGATTTGGGTATGATAGAATATAGTTGAAGTGTCACTATGTGTTTGTTTGTGCCCCGCCCCTTAAGAGGTTTTACAGTTTCTATTTGCAATGAAAACAAAAATCTAAATGTCAATTTTTCTGTCATCCCATGCACCAAAAGGCTGCTGGTTCAATTCCTGGTCAGGGTACAGGCCCAGGTTGTGCACTCAGTCCTGGTGGGGGGCCGTGCAGGAGGCTGCAGATTGATATTTCAATGTTTCTCTTTCTCCCTCTCTCTTCCTCTAAAAATCAGTAAAAATATTTTTTTAAAAAGGAAGAAATTAGCTTTGTCACCTTACTAACTTATAAAATTAAGAATTCTTTAAGTAAGCTTCCACCTGTATTATCTTGCTAACATCAGTCTATTCGGTTCTGCAGGCTCTTTACTGTATACATATAGTTAGGTACCTTTGCGGAAAATTGGCTATTGCCATGATGAAAATAAGTGGAAAGGACAAGAGAAGCATTTTGTCTTACTTTACTCAGGGAATGTTGATGCAACTCTGAAATGTGAGTTTATTCTTCAGAAGCTTTTACTCTTAGCTCACAGGCAGGACTACCTAATACACGCCTTCTCAGCCAGCCATTTGAAATTTGGAATGCTGAGCATTCTAGAGCACTGCTTTGACCCATGGTCCTCCTAGCTCGGGTTTCATATGGATTGTCTTCGTCTTTGGTGCCACTGCTGTTTTTGTTTGTTTGTTAATGGTTACTTAGGTTATTGTATATACATACAGGAGAGTCTTTTTTTTTAATCCTCACCTGAGGACATTTTTGCATTTCTCTTTCTTTAGAGTGGGAAGGAGGAAGAGAGAGAGAAACATCGATGTGAGAGAGACACATCAAATGGCTGCCACCCACATGACCCCAACTGGGGCCGAGGTACATGCCCTTAGTGGAAACTGAACCCAGATCTCTCTGGTCCGCGGGCCAATGCTCTAACCGCTGAGCCAAACCGGCCAGGGCTGCTACTTATTTTTTTATTCAGCACCTCAGTGATGCTGTTTCTCAAATTGTTAGGTGAAGAAGGGAAGCAATCTTAAATGGTCTCTAGTTGGAATAAGGGAGAGTTCTGATGCTGAGCTTCAGTTAATGTCATTAAAATTGTTTTTCTTAAATAAGAAAGACTTTTTGTCTTAGCAGAGACTGTATTTTTTTTCCTCTAGCATATTTTTTGTACCTTTTCAATACTTAATGGTTTTTTTCTTTCTGTAGATGTTCATTCTGGACAAAGTTGAAGGTGATACTTGTGCCCTGAATGAATTTACCATAAGTGGATCAACATATGCACCTGTTGGAGAAGTGTGAGTAAACCCTCCTATCATTTAAAGGATTCATTATGCCAGTTTGGTACTTATATAGACTTCCAGTGTGTCTAGAAAAGTTAAGACAGCTTTCTGAATGTGGCTTATGGCATCAGTTATTAGAGTAGTAAGTTTTGGTACACTTCTTAAATATATATATACCTTTACCTACTTTTTCTTTTTTTTTTTTATCCTCACCCGAGGACATTTTTTGTACAGATAGAGTGGGAGGAAGGGAGGGAGGGAGGGAGGGAGAGAGAGAGAGAGAGAGAGAGAAGACATCGACGTGAAAGGGACACATCGAGTGGCTACCACCCGCACGACCAACCAGAGCTGGGGACAAACTGCAACTGAGGTACATGCCCTTAGTGGGAACCGAACCTGGGTCTCTCCGGACCGCAGGCCGACGCTCTAATCGCTGAGCCAAACCGGCCAGGGCTACTTTTTCTTTTTTAATTTTTTTTTTCTTTATGATTTTAGACAGAGAGAGGAAGATGAGAGGGAGGGAGGGAGAAACATTGATGAGAGAAAACATTGATTGGCCGCCTCCTGCATGCCCTCCACTGGGGATCAGGCCCACAATCTGGGCTTGTGCCCTGACCAGGAATTGAACCAGCGACTTTTTGGTGCCTGGGTCTACACTAAAACACTGAGCCACACTGGCTGGGCCACTTTTTCTTTTTAGAACGAGGGAAACATTGATTTGTTATTCCACTTATTTGCACATTCATTGCATGCTTCTTTTGTGTTTCCTGACCATGGATTGAACCCACAACCTTGGTGTATGGGATGATGCTCTAACCAACAGAGCTACCCAGCCAGGGCAATTTTTGTACATCTGAAAGGGAAAGCACAAGTTATAAGCCAATGACCTTTTTCATCTTATTGAGCTCCCATTTGAAGCATGCATTTTTAAGGGGGGTTTCCATTTGTCTTTATTGATACCAGTGGTGGAGGAATTTTATGAACTAAGGGTTTCTGGTCTTTACCAATTGATTCTTGATGTCAGAGACGCAGTCTGTTGTCTCCAGCATCAGCTTTCTAATAGCCATCACTCAAATTCTTTTGAATATTTTCCAGTCTGTTGTCCACAAAATTCTATTTATATTATTAAATAATTAAATAAAGGTCAACAGAGATAACCACACTGTGCTTTAAGAGTGTTTTTCCTTTTGATAGGTATAAAGATGATAAACCAGTGAAATGTCATCAATATGATGGTCTTGTAGAATTGGCAACAATTTGTGCTCTTTGTAATGACTCTGCTTTGGATTACAATGAGGTAAGGCTCCTCAGAAATGAGCAACTAGACCCGACTGTTCCTAATCAAGGGTGGGGTGGGTAGGAGAAAATTCAGCCTTCCTTCCTCCCTTTTGAAAGTAAGGGTTCCTGATTTTATTTCCCCTTTCCATTCAAGATTCTATCTCTATAAGAGTCAGCACGACAGAGCCAAAGAAAGCTGAGAGCCTTTCATATGTCCTGCGACTGAGCATTGCAGTTAACTAAGAGTTGTAGGGTACAAGATGTTCTCATCTGTTTATAGTTCGTTACTATAAATGAACAAAACCCAGGATAGAAAATGTTTTCCTGAATGTATAGGGTATTGATGTTGATTTTTAAGATGGGTTATCTTATATCTTTGAGGGCAATCTGAGGCTTAGAGGATTGTTTTAATGACATTGAAGATAAAATAATAAAATTTAACTAGCAGAAAACTTTTTTACTTTCTTTTTTATTATAAACAGTGAGGTAAGTCCTTTGATTTCTAAAAGGCAATCCAGCCTCCATCAGAAACAGAATGTAAACCATGTAGATAAATAATGACATGGAATTATAGATACTGTTTGGAAACTTTATATGAATACTGTGATTAGTAGCTTCTTACAGTTAAGGGAAATAAAAAACCTAATTATTAGAATAAGATGAGATGCATACCTGTGCTTTGAGTATATTTTTATCTGGATTATGTGCTCCAGAGTAGGAAAAAAAAGGCAGCCCACAGAATATTGATGTGTAGTGGAGGACAGGTTGTCCTCCTATGGAAGTCTCTATTAAAGACAAGTGTACTTGTTTACTACTTTTCCCTTTTTGCACTTTGTGTCCTTGACCAATATAGGCAAAGGGTGTGTATGAGAAAGTTGGAGAAGCTACAGAGACCGCTCTCACTTGCCTGGTAGAGAAGATGAATGTATTTGATACTGAATTGAAGGGTCTTTCTAAAATAGAACGAGCGAACGCCTGCAACTCGGTCAGTATTAGAACTTGGTATATTATTCATACTGCCCCTCATTCGTACCACATATTTACTTTCTTGCTATCTTAGACAACCAATTATCTCCCTCATCTCCTCAAACTTGCAGTGTCTTCTTTCCCATATTCACTGTCAGGTAAAATGATCCAGCTGTGTATCTGAAGAAAATAAATCAGTAAATAATTTCCACATGCAGCCATCTTTTCCCTTGGTGCTGTGAAGGACTGTCCTGCTCCTAGCAGAAGCCCCAACATCTCTCCTGCGTTACCAATTTTCCATCTGCTGGATCTTCTTCAGCATGGGAGAAATAATAGTACAATTTTTAGCATAAAGCTTTCTTTTGACTTTATTTCCCTCTTCAGCACCCTAATTCTAATAGTACATCTAAAGTACATGGCCCTGGCCGGTTTGGCTCAGCGGTTAGAGCGTCCGCCTGCGGTCCGGAGAGACCCGGGTTCGGTTCCCGCTAAGGGCACGTACCTCGGTTGCAGTTTGTCCCCGGCCCTGGTTGGTCGTGCGAGTGGCAGCCACTCGATGTGTCCCTTTCACATCGATGTTTGCCTCTCTCTCTCTTCCTCTCTCTCCCTCCCACTCTGTCTGTACAAAAAAGGAAAAATGTCCTCGGATGAGGATTAAAAAATAAATAAATAAATAAAGTACATGAAGCAGCGCTGGCCGGTTTGGCTCAGCGGTTAGAGCGTCAGCCCCCCGATCAGAGAGACCCGTTCAGTTCCCGCTAAGGGCACGTACCTCTGTTGCAGTTTGTCTCAGGCCTTGGATGAGGTCGTGTGGGTGGCAAGCAGTCAGTGTGTCTCTCTCACATTGATGTTTCTTTCTCTCTTCCTCCCTCTCTCCCTCCTGCTCTATCTGAAGATAAATGCAAAAATGTCCTCCGGTGAGGATTACAAAAAAAGGACGTGAAGCAAAAACTGACAAAAATAAGAGGAAAAGTAGACAAATCCACAGTTAGAGTTTGAAACTTTAATACACCTCTCTTAATAATTGATAGAAGAAGCAGGTGAAAATATCAGTAAGGATATGGAAGATTTGAACAACACTGTAAATACTTCACATAATTCTTATTATGCTACTTGTAATGTGCACTTTAAATACATAAGGGGAACATTCACCAGAATAAACCGTATAGCTGGTCCATGAAACAAGACTTAACAAATTATGCAGACAGTTGCTGACCACAGTAAAATTAAATTAGAAATCAATAACAAAGATAACAAGCAAATTCCCCAAATATTTTGAAGCTAAACAACACTTTTTTAAACTTTTTTTTAAAATCCTCACCCGAGGATATTTTTCCATCTATTTTCAGACTGGGGGGTAGAAACATCAATATGTCACATCAATTGGTTGCCTCCCCCATGACCAGGGGACCAAGGCCAGAACCACAACCGAGGTATATGCCCTTGACCAGAATCAAACTTGAGACTCTTCATTCAGTCCATGGGCCGAGGCTCTAACCAGTAAGCCAAACTAACTGGGCTAACCAACACTTTTAAAAATAATCCTGGGTAAAAGAAGAAACCATGGTGGAAATTAGAAAATACTTTGAACTGAACAATATTGAAAACACACCATATGAAAGTTTGGAGGATGCAGTCAAAACATTGTTTTAAGGGAAAGGTATAGCTTTAAGTGTACATATTAGAAAAAAAGGTTAAAAATCAATAAATATAAGCTATCTGAAGAAAGAAACAGCAGGATCAGGAAACTATTATGAACAATTCTATGCAGATAATTTTTTTTTTTTTTTTTTTTTATCCTCACCCGAGGACACTTTTTCATTCTTTGTTCAGATAGAGCAGGAGGGAGAGAGAGAGAGAAACATCGATGTGAAAGGGACACATCGAGTGGCTGCCACCCGCACGACCAACCAGGGCCGGGGACAAACTGCAACCGAGGTACATGCCCTTAGCGGGAACCGAACCCGGGTCTCTCCGGACCGCAGGCCAACGCTCTAACCGCTGAGCCAAACCGGCCAGGGCTCTATGCAGATAATTTGACAAACCCCTTCACAACTTTCTAAACTAATAAGAAAAGTGAAATAATCCTGAATCTGTTAAGTTAATTGAATATAATTCAAATTCTACCCTCACAAAAATTCTCCATGCTAAAATAAATAGGTACTAGGGATGCCATGTATAATATGATGACTACAGCTAATATTGATCTATGATATATAGAAAATTTATTGAGAGTAAACCCTAAGAGTTCTCACAAGGAGAAAAAATTTACTTTTTTCTTCTTTCTCTTTTATTGAATCTATGAGTTGATGGATATTAGCAGAACATATTGTGGTAATCATTTCACATATATGTAAATCAAACCATTGTGCTATATACCTTACCCTTACATAGTAATGTATGTCAATTATTAATAAAACTGGAAAAAAAATTGAACAGAGTATTTGAAGAGCTACAGGATAATATCAAATAGGTTAACATATATGGTACTGAAATCCTAGAAGGAGAAGAGAAAAAGAGGAAGCAGAATAAATGTTTATTAAAAAAACAGCCCTGGCCGGTTTGGTTCAGTGATTGGAGCGTCGGCCTGCGGTCCCGAGAGACCCGGGTTTGGTTCCCGCTAGGGGTGCGTGCCTCGGTTGCAGTTTGTCCCCGGCCCTGGTCGGTTGTGCGGGTGGCAGCCACTCGATGTGTCCCTTTCACGTCGATGTTTCTCTCTCTCTCTCTCTTCCTCTCTCTCCCTCCCACTCTACCTGAACAAAAAAAAATGGAAAAATGTCCTCGGGTGAGGATAAAAAAATAAAATAAAAAAATTCTCCATGCTAAATTCTGCCAAACACTTACGAAATAGTTTTACACAGACTATGAGAAAAAGTAAAATGATAACCTCATTTGATGAAGCCACAGGTAGCAAAACCTCACCTGGACATGATTTTTTAAAAAGGAAGCTATAAACTAATATATAATTTTAAAAAATATTTATTGCCCTAACTGGTTTGGCCCAGTGGTTAGAGTATCGGCCCACAGACCAAAGAGTAGCAGGTTCAGTTCCAGTCAAGGTCACATACCTTGGTTTTGGTTCGGTCTCCAACCCTGGTTGGGTCGTGTGGGAGGCAACCAATCAATGTATCTCTCTTGCATCGATGTTTTTCCACTCTCTCTCTTGCTCTTGCTCTTTCCCTCCCTCCCTCTCTTACACTTGATCTAAAGATAAATGGAAAAAATCTCCTCGGGTGAGAATTTTAAAAATAATAAATTTATTGATTAATTTTAGAGAAACATCGATTTGTTATTCCACTTATTCATTGCATTCATTGATTGATTCTTGTTTGTACCCTGACCAGAAATCAAATCCACAACCTTTGGCTTATCGGGACAACACTCTAACCAACTGACCTACCTGGCCAGGGCCCAAACTAATATTTTTAATAGAGATGTAAAGAGTCTCAACACAACATTCTCAGATCAAATCTAATCATATATTAGATCTGTAACATGTTGCCCTAGCTGGCGTAGTTCAGTGGTTAGAGCACTGGCCCATACACCAAAGGGTCACAGGTTTAATTTCTGGACAAGGGCACATACCTGGGTTGCAGGTTCCATCCCTGGTCCTGAGGTGTATGGGGGAGGCAACCAATAGATATATATGTCTTTCACGTTGATGGTTTTCTCTCTCTCCTTCCGCTCCCCCCCTGAAAATCAATGGAAAAAATATCCTTGAGTGAGGATTAACAACAACAAAAACTGTAACATGTTGTTTAAGCAGAATTACAACTGCAAGGCTAGCTTAACATTCAAAGGTGAATCAGTGTCGTGGCAATGGTGGATGGTACTAAGCCACTTTGTCTGCCAGATCTGTGGTTCGTTGGTGTGATTAAATCACTTGGCTTGAAGACAGCTTCACAAAGACTGACATTTAGAATTGTTTGATTCCAGACCTGTAACTACCTAACAAAGGGAAACAAGTAGCATCATAGAGCTCAGAAGTGCGTTGACTATAATGACCACCACAAATAAGGACAGGACTGTATATTTTGTTTTGACAATTGTCTGTTACTATATCCCCATTGCCTGTCATATAATAGGTACTGAGTGAATATTTGTTGAACAAGTGAAAGATTTACAGAATCATCATCCAATAGTATTCTATATACGTTCTCTTCATAGGTCATTAAACAGTTGATGAAAAAAGAATTTACTCTAGAGTTTTCACGCGATAGAAAATCAATGTCGGTTTATTGCACACCAAACAAGCCAAGCCGGACATCGATGAGCAAGATGTTTGTGAAGGCAAGTACATCAGATTGCAATTGGGATGTTCTTGCCAGGGTTAGGATCCTGGATGAGCCAGTAAATAAAATTGTTGACCTAAATCTGTAACATTTCCAGGGTGCTCCTGAAGGTGTCATTGAGAGGTGTACCCACATTCGAGTTGGAAGTACTAAAGTCGCTATGACCCCTGGAGTCAAGCAGAAGATCATGTCTGTCATTAGGGAATGGGGTAGTGGCAGCGACACACTGCGATGCCTGGCTCTGGCCACTCATGACAACCCACTGAGAAGAGAAGAAATGAACCTTGAGGACTCTGCCAACTTTATTAAATACGAGGTTAGCTCATGAAAAGTTTCTTTCCCCACACCCTGTACATTCATTGTGTTTAAACAGCACTCCTTCGGTAAAAGGTCAAATGAGTCTTGCTTTTGCCAACAAAGAGGTGTGGTTATATTTCTGCAGGCCAAATGCAACACCGTTATAATCTAGGTTACTGCTTCAAACATATAGTTAACAATTTAAAACAAGTGTATTACTTTCAAAGTAAAATTACCAAGACTTGAGCTAAATTTGTAAAACCTGTTTTGCAACATGAAAATTAAGATATTTTAAAAATTGGGAATATTTTTAAAACGTTTATTAGTTATCAAAGGTTAAAATATCCAGGTTGAAAGACTACTTTCCGCTCGTAGTAGAATTCTGTCATATTAGTTATGTGACTTCCTGATGCATTGAATGGAAGGAACAAGGAACAAATTACGGTACTATGGAGCACTAAAGGGGCTTATATCAAAATGCTCTTTATTCCTCAGAATGGTTTTTCTCGTTTCAGAATATTATCATCGTGAAAGTTAAAGTGATTTGATAACAAGAATGTAGCGATGTTTTTAATCGTTTCCTATTTATTGGAATTAATACTATTCATTAGATTTCAATCTTGTGTGTATATAAATCTTAGATAAAAGAGTCAGAGTTAACAAAATCTAGCATAAGAAAATGCAGAAACCTTAGTTCTTAATGTATAATTAGCCTTGTTTTACACTAGGGGAAAAACCTGAATTTCCTGTTTTAAGATAAGGTGATTCTTTTGTGCAGACCAATTTGACTTTCGTTGGCTGTGTGGGCATGCTCGACCCTCCAAGAATTGAAGTTGCCTCTTCTGTGAAGTTGTGCCGGCAGGCAGGCATCCGGGTCATCATGATCACAGGAGACAACAAGGGCACTGCTGTGGCCATTTGTCGCCGCATTGGGATCTTTGGGCAGGACGAGGATGTGACGTCAAAGGCTTTTACAGGTCGGGAATTTGATGAGCTCAATCCTTCAGCCCAAAGAGATGCCTGCTTGAATGCCCGCTGTTTTGCTCGAGTTGAACCTTCCCACAAGTCTAAAATTGTAGAATTTCTTCAGTCTTTTGATGAGATTACAGCTATGGTGAGTATCTTTGGACATGTACAGATTTTGACCATTAAATTTTTAGTGATAGCTCCCAGATTTGTAGTTTCTGGGCTATTTCTCTAGGACTTTGTTGGCCAGTAGTTAGCATGCTGTGTTGCATGCAGGGAGTATTCTAGAGAAGTTTAAGAACTAGCAGTACCTGCTGAATCTGTCACAGGGGAAGTACTTAGCAGAATTGGGTTCCCTTTCAGACTGGGGATGGTGTGAACGACGCCCCTGCTCTGAAGAAAGCCGAGATCGGCATTGCCATGGGCTCTGGCACCGCAGTGGCTAAAACTGCCTCTGAGATGGTCCTGGCCGATGACAACTTCTCCACCATTGTGGCTGCCGTGGAGGAGGGGCGGGCCATCTACAACAACATGAAGCAGTTCATCCGCTACCTCATCTCCTCCAACGTGGGAGAAGTTGTCTGGTGGGTCCCTAAGACAAGTCATTGGTATTTCTTTAATTAAAATCAGTTTGTGGTAGCCAGTTTTCCAGATTTGTTCTTCCTATGGCAGCAGCTTTGGTCTCTGGGCACGAGGTGGGAGGGAAGATGAAGGAATCCCTTGTGAAGGAAGAGGGCTATCTGTGGCTACCTTTATTTTTTTTTTTTTATCCTCACCCGAGGACATTTTTTCTATTTTTTGTTCAGATAGAGTGTGGGAGGGAGAGAGAGAGAGAGAAACATCGACGTGAAAGGGACACATCGAGTGGTTGCCACCCACACGACCCAACCATGGCCGGAGACAAACTGCAACCGAGGTACATGCCCTTAGCGGGAACCGAACCCGGGTCTCTCAGGACCGCAGGCCGACGCTCTAACCGCTGAGCCAAACCGGCCAGGGCTGTGGCTACCTTTAACAAATATTTTGAAGCTAAATAACACTTTTAAACTTTTTTTTTTAATCCTTACCCGAGGATTTTTTTTATCTATTTTCAGACTGAGTTTAAATTAACTATATAAAATAACATGAAGTTCTTGGCCTTCTAAAAATTAACTGTAATTTGAAATTTGGTATAATATTTTATGATTGCCAAAAAATGTTATTTCAAGTATCAGTTGTTGCTTCCATTCATTTTTGTTGTTCTTTCTATGGCTGAGGAGGGCATAGTGATGCTATCTGAAAAATTGCCAAAAATAACGTGGGGTCTTCTCTTCTTTCCTTGGGTGGAAACAGTATTTTCCTGACAGCAGCCCTTGGATTTCCTGAGGCTTTAATTCCTGTCCAGCTGCTCTGGGTCAATCTAGTGACAGATGGCCTGCCCGCCACCGCATTGGGGTTCAACCCTCCTGATCTGGACATCATGAATAAGCCACCCCGGAACCCAAAGGAACCCCTGATCAGTGGGTGGCTCTTTTTCCGTTACCTGGCAATTGGCTGTGAGTAGTGTTTTTTTAAATATTGTTGATTTAGAAACAAATTTTTTGTGATCCAAGATTTTGTAAATTCATCTTTTAAAAAGCACAATTTGTTACCAATATTAGGGCAAAAAAATGGAGGCTTTTACAGTTTAATGAACTAACTGCATACCCAATTTACAGTAAAGTCAGGTCCCTGTTTTAAGCATCATCTTTCCTTGGACCTTCATTCACAGAGGTTTTCAGATTGAACCTATGGGCAAAGGGATTCAGGGACGACACAGGCCTTATATCACTAAAATATAAAAACAAAATTCCTTTTCCCTCCGCAAGAAAAGGGACCGACCTTTGTGCTCATCAGCAGTCGTTGGTAAATGCATGGAGCCCGGCCACAGGTCAGACTCTTCTACAGATGTCTCCTTTGTAGACCTCACCACATGCTTCTGACACGGGTGCTGGTTCTCTTCTCCGTTTCATAGGTTAGGAAAGTGAGTTCTGAAGAGGTTAAATAACTTCCCTAGGAGTCCATAGAAAGGTGACTTAAAATGCAGAAAGCACACCCTGGCCTAAGGTGGGCAGACTCTCAGCCAGTCAGTTCCCCTCCAGTGGCAACAGTTTGTCACGTGCCCTTCCAGAGCAGTTCTGGCAAACGGATTTTTATGTCTTTATTTTCTCAAGTGATGGCATGCTGCACAGCCCTGTGTGCTGAACTTCATTTTTTTGTATTTCTCCCTGTTTGGGTGGGGGGTAATTTCCATATCAGTACTTGTAGAGCTAGCTGCCTCTTCCCTGGGCACCAGCGGCCTGCTGCTTTGTGTAATAACTGGGTGAGAGGATGTATGCACTTGTGTCTTTTGGTGGATGCTACCACAGCGAAACATTCGCTGATTCTCAAGTCCCCGTGTTCTCCACTACCCCTTGTTGCTCCTTTGTAATAAATTTACTGAATTAAAAAGTAATGAGGTTGGGGTGAGGATTCCAGAATTACCCTCAGGTATTGCCATGTTGCTCCGTGTTCTACTAACGGCTCCAACAGCCTTTCCAAATAAAGGTTCTGCCAAGGCCTTTGATGAAGCAAATAAACTAGCGTACATCCGATGGTATCAGTTTGCCTAAAAGTCATGGATGGTGTGATGTGGTCCTACCAACGTGGCCTGGCCTTTTGTGGAGGACACATACCTGCAGCCTTAATATGTTTTGGCTGTGGACTAGAGAAGGGCATGGCTAGGGTAAATGTCCTACAAACCCAGCAGGACCAAGTTCTCAAATTCTGGAGCAAAAGTTGCCTGGATCTTCTGCACCACAGACCCTTCTCCTTGCGGAAGTCCTCAGTTCAGCTGTCTTTGCATAGGTGGCTCAGTTACCATTGACATACCTTGTCTTTCCTCTGTCCTGGTGAAGGGCCCACGAGGCACAGCTGCAGTGAATGAAGGCTGCAGGCTGTAGATCCTGTGTGTATCAGCACTGTGATGTTTTTCCCAGGTTATGTGGGCGCTGCTACTGTGGGCGCTGCTGCCTGGTGGTTCATTGCTGCAGACGGCGGTCCAAGAGTGTCGTTCTACCAGCTGGTACGTAAACGCCTTCCTTTCGGTGCCTTGGGTGCGTAGTGTTGTAAGCCCCTCCCAACGGTGTGGTTTGGGTGCCTGTCAGATAATCTTAAGGCTCGGACAATCTGCAGTTACATCAAATACTATTGTGGCCCTGGCCGGTTTGGCTCAGCGGTTAGAGCGTCGGCCTGCGGTACAGGGAGACCCGGGTTCGGTTCCCGCTAAGGGCATGTACCTCTGTTGCAGTTTGTCCCCGGCCCTGGTTGGTCATGCAGGTAGCAGCCACTCGATGTGTCCCTTTCACGTCGATGTTTCTCTCTCTCTCTTCCTCTCCCTCCCGCTCTATCTGAACAAAAATGGAAAAATGTCCTTGGGTGAGGATAAAAAAAAATACTATTGTGAGGGATGCGGCTCTCTGGAAAATGGGGTGAGGTCTTGTGTGGGTCTGTGTTCTGGGCTTAGTGTGGAATTGGTACCTGGACTTGGGAAATGTACTTGACTGATCAGGAACTTGATTGGGCTTTGTTGCAGAGTCATTTCCTACAGTGTAAAGAGGACAACCCGGACTTTGAAGGAGTGGATTGTGCAATCTTTGAATCCCCGTACCCGATGACAATGGCACTCTCTGTTCTAGTAACCATAGAGATGTGTAACGCCCTCAATAGGTCAGTGAGTCTTCTCGGCAAGCTGAGGGAGTCTCCGACAACCAGGGCTCTGGGATTGTGTGTGTGGTGTCATGGTTGGTTGAGGATCACAGGAGAAAAAGGAGAACAAGCACACTGTCTTCTAAAGCGTGAGCGTCGTCATCTCCAGGAAGTGGTGGGAGTGCTTGCCAGGTGTTCCTTAAGAGACAGTGGGGAACAAAAATAGGGACTTTAGTACCCCTGTGTGACATTGCCCACAGGGAAGGAGTTTTTTTCCTTTAGCATTGCCACAAATGGTATCCAATTAAGCCAGTGACAAAAATGGAAATTTCAGAAAGAGCTTAAGTATCAAGGGCAATTGAGCAGCTTTGAGCTCAATGAAATGGAATCTGCTGTGCCGAAGCCTAGATTTAAAATTGGAAGCTTGTCCTATATCTGAACATCTTCCTCAACTTTGCCACAGTAGAAACTTTAGTCAGTATAATTAGGTCAGTGGGTAATACCAAGTTAGCTGCTGCTTATTGAAGCATAGTTCTGAACAGTCTTTGTCACTTGTGACACATGACTCTGTGTCAGGCCTATTTCATGTACCTCTCTCTGCCTTGTGCAGCTTGTCTGAAAACCAGTCTCTGCTGAGGATGCCCCCTTGGGAGAACATCTGGCTCGTGGGCTCCATCTGCCTCTCCATGTCACTCCACTTCCTGATCCTCTACGTGGAGCCCTTGCCAGTAAGCTATGGTGGGGTCTGGGCCGGGGCCTGGCTGCCTCTCCAAGGCTGGGAGCTTGACAAGGCTTCTCTGTTTCAGCTTATCTTCCAGATCACACCGCTGAATTTGACCCAGTGGCTGATGGTGCTGAAAATCTCCTTGCCTGTGATTCTAATGGACGAGACACTCAAGTTTGTGGCCCGCAACTACCTGGAACCTGGTAAAGAGTGTGTGCAGCCCGCCACCAAATCCTGCTCGTTCTCGGCATGCACCGATGGGATTTCCTGGCCGTTTGTGCTGTTCATAATGCCCTTGGTGATCTGGGTGTATAGCACAGACACTAACTTTAGTGATATGTTCTGGTCTTGACTGACAGTTTTACATAAAAGAAGATGTTTAACTTAATCAATTAATTTTTTATTGTTTAAAGCAACTGTCTATTTCTGCTGAATTTTCACATGAACATATTGGCTGGTGAAGGAGGTTTCATACTCTAGATTTTGTTTTTGCTTTTTCTGACTCCAGTGGGGCAAGATTTTCCTTTTTTATACACATAATTAAAGTGTCCATTGACATGTACAGAGAACTAACACTATTTTATGCAAATATTTTTTTGTAGATGAAAAAGCATGTACAGTGTTCTGTTTAATACTCATCCTTGTATAAAAAAAAAAAGTTGAGCCAGCAGACATTGTCAGCAAATTAATTGGCAGCAGATTTTAGGAAATGAATGTGTGTGTGGTTTTTTTTTTTTTTTTTTTTTTTTTCTAAAATGAAATAGCATGTATTGTGTCTTTTGCATGATCATCTGGATTTAATCTGAGATCACAGTCTAATTTTTATTCATAAGCCAATTTTTCTGCACTGGGCAGAGTACTGCTACCTCAGTCAGTATTTTTTGGTTTGCCACTCCCTCACCCCTCTTGGTTCACCCCCACCCCTGCTCGGCTGCTTCTGTAGGATTTCGATGGTTCTGTTTACATCAGTCTTAACAAGAGGTATGCCTGTTCTCGCTTGTGCAGAAAACATCGTTTCAGATTTGATTGACTGGGTTCGTGTCCCCTCACATAGTTTTTAAGGTTATTTATTTAAATGTCTAGTATATTTTATTGTAACAGACATTGTTTTGCCAACATTGCCTATTTCAGTGGCACTTCACAATCTAGCTTAAAAAAATAAAACATTTTAAATGGACAGAAAAATAACTGCCTTGTTTTTAACTCTTAAGTGGCCTAGCTTGAACTATCAACTTTCTCAAGTTCTTAGCTCAGACCTTTAGTTTTACTGTGCTCATGGGGAAGAAGGATCCTGTTCTGCTGCATAGGTAGTTGTAGGAATTTAATTTTTTAATGTATAGGCACTGTCATCTGTGACTCATTTTATGCAAGTTTTCTGCTGGCCTGTTTTAGCCTAGTATAGAGAACATAAGGGCAGGTGTGTGTGTGTGTATGTGCGTGTATGTGTTTTGTAAAATCTGTAAATAGCACATGACCGAATGACATACTGTATAGAACTATTTTTATCTGAATGTGGCCCTAACCACCACCGTCGTACTATGGTGAATGTCTGCGCATGTTCCAGATCAGCCTTACCAACCGTGTATGAGTCATTAACAGTCCTAACTGTGGTGTTTTCCTCCAATGCCTTCCAACATCCATCAACTAATGTGAGTATTCCCTGGAATTCGGATACTTCAGCCTGAAGGTGACTGCCACCAAGTGGCTAGCTGTATGGCACTAACGAGTAAGCCCCTTGTGTCAGGCACTGCTGTGCTGAGGCTGTCCCTGAGAGCAGTGGGCATATGATGTGTGCTACCTGTGCACACGCGGGCCAGGTAGTGCCTAGGACAGGGGCATGGCCAGATGTTGGTCGGGAGGCCTGGAGGAAGAGGAGCTGTTCTGATTTGGTCAGACTGAGGCCGAGGGAGCTGTGCCTTTGCTAGTGCTGCGGTGAGGGTTCACACAAAGTGGTTCTTTCGGTCTTTGTAGCTGCAAGGACTCATCCCAGAACCTTGGTTCATTAAAAAGCAAAAAGCTAGTGAAAGCAAGTAACTGAATCAGTCAACTTACAAATCTGTAGGTACCTTTCTTCACCTTCGGGGTCACATCCTTTGCAGCTGAGACTTGTCTTCTCTCTACAGGGGACATTAAAGCAGTTAGTAGGGCATGGGCTCTGCTTGGCCAGCAGCCAGCCACCCTTGGCGTTAGCCAGGGAGAAGGAGGCATAGGCAGCTATGTATTTGGTGAGCTGGCAGCTTCCTCCCTGTGAAGCCCATGTTCTTGTAAAGGTACTTGGACCCTGGTTGCTGGGCCAGAGGATGTGTTGTAAATGCTGGCAGTTTGGAGAAAGTTAACAGGTATCAGGCAGGACGAGGTGCTGCTGCCAAATCTAAGTGTAAAGAGGCAGAAGTGGACTGTGGAGACTGAGTACAGAGCCCTGCCTGGCTCACTGAGGCCTCTCAGGAAAGGAGGTTGGTTTGCTCGACAGAGGATATAGGGGAGTAGGTTTTGCCAATTTCAGCATCACGAGGGGTAAAAAGAAAAGGCTGGATAAAATGCAAAGTGTGCATCTTGGCTACAAACCAAAACAGGATGTCTGAGCTTGTTGGGTAGTGTGCTGTTCAGTGGAAACCAAACTAAATAGTCAACTTTTCCTGACTCAGTTCCTTGATTTAGTGGCTTTTACAAAATAAGTGGAGCGCTGCGGGCTGCTGGAGGAGACGAGGAGAACCCCAGATGGCCCTGGGCTGGCGCTGCCTTGTGGCTTCTCGGCTTCATGCCCATCCAGCCCACAGAGGCAGTTCGGGCACCCACTTCCCTCAGCCCAGACAGCTGGGAGCGGGGAGGACCCACTGCTGCCTCCAGCAGAGTCCTCGTGTCCACTCCGCGTCAGCCTTTGCCTCTGAAACACGTCTGTTTCAGTGCATCCTCAGTGGTTGTGTTGCTGTGGGCACATCCCTAGCCTCGGGTCTCCCACTCCCCCAACAGGAAGGCACTGCTGGCCTCTGCTGTAGCCACTCTCAGTGACTGGATGGCGCAGCGTCTTCCTCAGGCGCACCCTGCAGTTCTTGCCTGAAGCACTTCCCCTGTGGGCCTGCAGCCTGTCCCATCAGAGTGTCTGCGTCTTGGATGGCGGTCTCTGTCCATCCCCTCCCACTCCGGCAGTTCACTCCGCATTTGCAGTACAGGTGACGTGTCCGGTTAGAGCTGCGTGAGCTCACGGACAAGGCATCTGCCAGCCTCCCTCAAACTGGGGCCTCAGCCCTCTGGATGTCTGTGTGGTGGGCATTCCTGAGCAGTATGAGGCCACAAGTGTTAGCTCAGTGTCTGCCAAGCACCTACCCACAGCCCAGAGCCTGCTGTGTCTGCAGAGCTAAGTCGGCCGTTGCCTTTTAAATTTAACCACCAAATCCTGTCAAAGCCACCACCCTGCAGTTAACAATAAGGGTAACCTCCAGCCTTCTCTCTTGAAACGAGGTATAGCTGTTTCCCAGTCTGGGCAGGGCTAGGCCTCTGCAGCAGGGGCTGCCCCTGGGGAAGGGTGGGGAGGAGGGAGCTAGAAGCTTGGTGCTGACTGCACACTGCTCACTCTGCTTCGTCTCCCTGCACTGCTAACCAGAACTGTCCCTTCTCTTGCTCATCGCACTCCTGTTAGACCTGAAGCCATTAGGGGTTTGCCTGGTGGGGTTCTCCTGGGAGCCAGGAGGCCGGGCTTCGCTCTGTAGCCAGATGGCAGCAGGGATCTGCGTGGCCGAGCCAGTGCTTCAGCTGCCGCCCTGTGTGGGCAGTGCCTCGGGGACAGTTCGTCAGACATGCTGGTCTCGAGATCTTAAAAGATCAAAGTGCATACATATACCCTTTCACCTGTCACTAGTCTTAGTAGTTATTCAAACATTTCCTCCCCGTATTTCATAAAGCTGATTTCCTCTTTCTTTCCTTTACAGCAATACTGGAGTAACCGCTTCCTAAGCCATTTTGCAGAAATGTAAGGGTGTTTCGGTTGCGTGCATGTGCGTTTTTAGCAACACATCTACCAGCCCTCTGCATGAATGAAGTTGGGGTGGGGGGAGAAAAGTAGAAAAAAAGCCCCCAACTCATTGTGTGTTACGTGGAGGAAATGTGTATTACCAATGGGGTTTTTAGCTTTTAAATCAAAATAATGATTAAAGATGTACAATTTAGCTTAATGAAATCAGAAAGCCTCTCCAGAGAATTTTGGTTTCTTTGCTGCAAGAAGAATGAGGTTCTGAAACTTTATCCAAGAACTTAGATGCCATCAGCCAAGTCTCCATACTTCTCTGTGCAAAATGTCATAGCTTATATAAATGTACAATATTCGGTTGTAATGCATGCCTTCAATTGTAAGTAGCCAGATTTCTCTACGGTGTCATTGAAACATGCTACTTTTTAATTGGCCCTGTACAGTTTTGCTTATTTATAAATTTATTGAAAACACTACAGGTGTTGAATGGTTAAAATGTAGGCCTCCAGTTCATAACTTGTTATTTTTTGAGTGTGCAAACAGCTATTTTGCACTGTACTAAGTGTAACTTATTTAATGAAATCAGAAGCAGTAGACAGATATTGGTGCAATACAAATATTGTGATGCATTTATCTTAATAAAATGCTAAATGTCAATTTATCACAACGCATGTTTGACTTTAGACTGTAAATAGAGATCAGTTTATTTCTGTGCTGATACGCATTGCACAGATATGGTTTCAGGTAAATAAATCTATTCTACGATAACGTCACAGTGTGGTGTTGACTGTTCTGTGGGAGGGGGCAGGTGATGTGCACTGGGGGCCTGCAGCCTTGCCCTCGTGTGGAGGGGCAGGGTAGAGGGTAAGTTCTTGGACTTGACTTTCTGGGTAGGAGAGCAGAGTGGTAGAAGGTCTGCTTGTGTGAGAAGATTTATAAAATATTTCTGCTGGCTCTACTGTCACCCCTGAAGTATGGGGAAAGCTAAATATGTCATTAGTGGGGTTTTTCAGAGATAATTAACATAATTTAAAAGTCTGCAGCTTGGAGGACTGTAGCCATAAAGATGATTCTAATGTTGTTCAGATGCAAAATGTAAAATTCTACCTTCCTATTGTTAATATAGAAAATAGAACGGAGTGTGGCTCAGTGGTTGAGGGCCAACCCATGAATCAAGAGGTCGCCGGTTCAATTCCTGGTCAGGGCACATGTCCAGGTTGTAGGCCAAATCCCGGGGGGGGGGGGGTGCAGGAGGCGGCCAATCAATGTTCCTGTCTCTCCCTCCCTCCCCCTAAAAATCAATAAAGAAAAAAATTTTTAGAAAATAGGACTGAAGTAGGTCCTGAAACACATTCCTTGGGTGGTTATTTGGTGATTATCTGCCATGGGTGGGTATTCATGGAGCGCTTCTCTAATTTTTAAATTCCCTAAGATGATTCTTTTCATCACTTAAAAAAAAATCAGGGACGCAAGGATAGTTGGATGATTCTAGAAACCTAATAAATACAAGCCCTACAGATACGGAAAAAACATTTAATAAAATTTAACATCCATTCTTAAAGAAAAAAAAACTCACAGTATATCTCCCATTTTATAACATGATGGAAAATAAGCTAGAAGTGGTGAAACGCCAGAATTACCATCTGCCGTTGTCCACTACTTAGCACTGTTTCGGAGAGTTGTGGCCATCAGACGGGGGAATGCGTAGGAGTAAACAAGCAAGGGTCATGTGGGACCATCTGGTTCTTAGGAAGGTTTAATAATTCAAGGAGAACTGGCATCTTAATGTGAAGGATATATCATTCATATGTTAATGATACATAAAAATACCAATAGGGCCCTGGCCGGTTTGGCTCAGTGGTTAGCGTGTCGGCCTGCGGACCAGAGAGTCCTGGGTTCGGTTCCCACTAAGGGCACGTATCTCGGTTGCAGTTTATCCCCGGCCCCGTTGGGGTCGTGTGGGTGGCAGCCACTTGGTGTGTCTCTCGCATGGATGTTTCTCTCTCTCTCTCTCCCCCTCCCTCTCTCCTTCCCGTTCTATCTGAAGATAAATGCAAAAAAAGGTCCTCATGGGAGGATAAAAGAAAAAAAAATACCAATAGGTATTTTAATCAAATAGAAAGGTGGTATTTCAGCTTAGTAGGTAAAAGTTGGGTTATTCATTATGCCAGTGGTCATCTTTTAAAAAAAAAAAGGAAAGAAAGCTGGCCTGGCCAGTATGGCTCACTGGTTGAGCAGCAACCATGCACCAAGGGGTCGCCAGTTTGATTCCGGGTCAGGGCAGATGCCCAGGTTGCGGGCCCGATCCCCAGTGGGGGACATGCAGGAGGTGGCCAGTTGATGTTCTCTCTCATTGACGTTCCTCTCCTTTCCTCTCTCTCTCAAAGCAATAGAAAAAAAGTTTTTAATTAAAGTGTGTATCCCCTATACCCAATCAATTACAAATTATCAAAAGACTTGAAAAATGAAACTATATCCCCAAAAGAAAAATGTCTAAATGATATAAACAAAAGAAAACTTGGTTTGCAAATAAAAGATACTCATCCCTCCTGGCAAATTGAAATCAATGAAATAATGCCCAGCCAGCGTGGCTCAGCGGGTTGAGCCTTGCCTCATGGACGGAGATCCCAGTTCGATGCCCCCGTTCCGGGCTCGATCCCCAGTAGGGGGCGCACAGGAGGCTGCCGATCGATATTTCTCTCGCACATCAATGTTTCTATCCCTTCGTCTCTCTCAAAAAAAAATCAATAAAAACTTTTTGTTTTTTAATGAATGAGTTTGGCCTTGCGTGGGGCGAGGCCTGGGAGCCCTGGGACTCGGCTTCCAGGAGCAGCTCCGTCAGCACCAGGGCTGGGCTGAGGCGCTGCAGTATCAGGAGGCACCAGTGTTTAAGCGATGGCATCTAAAACCCACTGTTAAAACGTGGGGCTTTTGTAATGATATTGAGGATCATTCCATTGACCTTCCAAGAAAAAGGATCTCTAATTTCACTAGTAAGAACATGAAGGAGGTTAAGAAGTCTCCAAAACGCCCTGGCCAGTTTGGCTCAGCGGTTAGCGTGTCAGCCTGCAGTCCAGAGAGACCCGGGTTCGGTTCCCACTAAGGGCACGTACCTTGGTTGTAGTTTGTCCCCGGCCCTGGTTGGTCATGCGGGTGGCAGCCACTCGATGTGTCCCTTTCACATTGATGTTTCTCTCTCTCCCTCCCGCTCTATCTGAACAATGCCCTCGGGTGGATTAAAAAAACAGTCCCCTAGGAGTGGGGGCTGTGACATGGCAAATAAGAAAATGAGCTGAGGTGTGCAGGCCCCCTGCCGGGAAGTTGCACCGTGACAGTGGAACATACTTGCTTAACTCAGTGATGCTGGTTCTTCACAGGCAGAAAGTGCAGCATCAAAATCCAGCGGGTTCTTTTCCGATTTCGTTCAGGAATTTGAGATTGAATGTAGCTTAACTTTCTGAAGGAAAAAGTGTAAGAACTTGTAGCTTTTTTGGTGAGGATAGAAGTCCGTGGAGTGGTGGTCGATTGTCTTCCTGTGCTTCCCAACAGTTCACAGGAAGACAAGCAATACAACTCACTCAGCCGCTGTGTAGACTTGTCTCTTGTACTTAAAGCAAATCTGAAGAATATATAATGGTTTAAACTGGCTTCAAGCAGTCATAAAAAGGTGGTGGTCCGAACTATCATCCAAAACAAATTATAAATGATGGCAATACTCAGATTTTATTTTATTTTTTGGGAGGGGGGTTCAAATTAAGAAAGCTTTATTAGCCGTGCGGTGACTGTCCCATCCTGCGCAGAGGAGAGAGTAGCCCAGATTTTAAAACAATAAAATTGTGGATTGTGGAAACAACAAAACCATCTCACTTTTGTTCCACTATATACTGGTAACACAGCTAAGAATGTAGATGCTTATTTATTACCATTATATTGAAAGACTTCATTTACTGAAGAGTAATTGGTTATTCAAAACACCCCTGGACCAAATGATTTCCATCAACCCAACAAGTCTCGGTGGAGAACTGTGAACCGGAAGAAATCAAAATAGTTTTTTTAAGCCACATAATGAAACCCTAACAATCTACTTCCCATTTGAGTGGGAAAATTATCCGCAAGGAGCAGCTTTGACTTCAGTAAGTGAAAGTGCTCATGAGATTGTTCACCTTTGCTGCATTTGGGATTCATACGGTTATTTGGTAACATCGTTTAAGAACTACTGGATCGTATTGCAATCCTGCATAAGAATATACTTTCTACTATGTGAAAAAATAAGGCAGAACTTATTTCTAGAAACTGCAAAGATCAATCATCATTACTTTTTTTTTCTTTTTTTATTTTTTTGTTACAGATATTTTAACTTTTAATCATCATTACTTTTCTTAAGATTGTGTTTTATTTAAAAAAAACTCAAATGTGTGCAGCTATTTTTAATAGGATTATTTTATTATTTATTATTATTTTTTTTAATCCTCACGAGGACATTTTCCCATTTTTTGTTCAGATGGGGGGGGAGACATCGACGTGAAAGGGACACATCGAGTGGCCACCACCCGCACAACCAACCAGGGCCAGGGACAAACTGCAACCGAGGTACATGCCCTTAGCGGGAACCGAACCTGGGTCTCTCCGGACCGCAGGCCGACGCTCTAACCACTGACCCAAACCGGCCAGGGCAAATAGGATTATTTTAAATATTTTTCTTTGTTGATATTTAGAGAGAGAAACATTGATGAGAGAGAACATCGATTGCCACCTCCTGCATGCTGCCCCCACTGGGGATTTGGCCCACAACCTGGGCATGTGCCCTGACCAGGAACCGAACCAGCGACCTCTTGATTCATGGGTTGACAATCACTGAGCCACACCTGCCAGGCACTATTTTGTTATATTAAAAGACTTTAAACGTTTAAAACAACAATGAGGTATCACCCCACACCTGTCAGAATGACCACCATCAACAAATCATCAAACAAGTGCTGGTAAGAGTGTGGAGAAAAGGGGACTCTAGTACACTGCTGGTGGGAATGCAGACTGGTGCAGCCACTGTGGAAAATAATATGGTGTTACCTCAAAAATTAAAAATTGAACTGCTATTTGACCCAGTGATCCCGCTTCTAGGAATATACCCTAAGAAGCCTGAAACACCAATCAGAAAGAATATATGTACCCCCATGTTCATAGCAGCACTATTTACAATATCTGGAAACAGCCCAAGTGTCCATTAATAGATGAGTGGATAAAAAACCTGTGGTACAGCCCTGGCTGGTTTGGCTCAGCAGTTAGAACATCGGCCTGCGGTCCAGAGAGACCCGGTTCAGTTCTCGCTAAGGGCACGTACCTCGGTTGCAGTTTGTCCTCAGCCCTGGTTGAGTTGTGCGGGTGGCAACCACTCCATGTGTCCCTTTCACGTCGATGTTTCTCTCTCTCTCTTCCTCTCTCTCACTCCCACTCTATCTGAACAAAAAGAAAATGGAAAAATGTCCTTGGGTGAGGATTAAAAAAAAAAGCTGTGGTACATATACACAATGGAATACTATGCAGGTGTAAGAAAGATCTCTTACCCTTTGGGAAGACATGGAGGGACCTGGAGAGTATTATCCTAAGCAAAACAAGCCAAGCAGAGAAAGACAAATATCACATGATCTCACTTATTTGTGGAATATAATGAACTAAACAAACTGATGAACAAATTAGACCCACAGACATAGAAGTAGGGTACAGACTGACAGACCTCAAGAGGGAGTGGCCGGGGGGAGAGATAAACCACAGAACT